GCTTCTCCTCCTCGCCTGCAAACCTCTTACCTCCCTTCCAGCTCTACTCAGCCGTCCTGTAGATTTGCACACTGTACACAAAGCAGGAGCGAGTCGACCGACCAATGTCCCTCTTCTTTCCCATATGCTGCTCTGCTGGCTTGTATGTCTTGAAGTGTTTCTCCCCAGCTCCGCTGGAAAGAGGGGGCAGCCTGTGCCCCTAAGAAGAGGACTCCAGGTTGCAGATGGAGATATGCTAAGGAGGGACTGTAAGCTCTACCTCTGTTGTCAGGGTTTTCCTCATGATTAGCTCTAAGGAGACACACACAGTGTGTGCACTAATGTCAGGTGTCTCCTTTTCTCAGTGAGTCAAGTGTTTGGGAGTCAGTTCCAGTTCTCTTCCACCTCTGCTGGCCTGCTTGTGGTCCAGGGGTCCAGCTTCCTTACTGCATCAGTTTTGTGTCGTCTGTGCCCTGAGGTAATCACATTGCCCTACCTGGCACGTTGTTGGAAAAAGTATTTGAGAAATCTGAGGTACTTGGTAGTTTTGGAACTAGGGGCTTACAAGGAGTAACACAGTACACTTGAGAGGACTGAAAAAGTTGTGAGGGTTCAGGAGACCACTGTTGTTGTCTCTTAGATCCACTCATCCAAAGTCTACAGTCCTTTTGTCCCAACAAATTTTTTTTTTTTTTGCCATGCAGTAAAACAACTTCCCAAACATTCCCACTTTGGAACTGGTGTTTTTCGAAAGTGTGGTTTGATAACTTGATTTAAACTCATCTAAATTCAGTCCCCAAGCTGAAAAGCAGATCCCATGATAGAAGACGACACCTTGTTCTTTGTCCCAGCACCTGTGATACTGCTGCTTTATACTGAGCTGACTCTGGAAGCTGAGCTGGCTGAAAACTCTTCCAGCCAAAGAGGTGGTGGTGGTGGGAGCAGTTTTCAGCCTGTTTGTCAAACTACATCTGAAATAGCAATATAGGTTCCAGCTACAAAAACGTATTGCTTGCGTTGTGTACTTACCACCAGTTTTGCATCATTAAGCGTTATTTATTCTTGGCCTGATATAATTGCAGCAGATTGCACACATGAACTGCTAATTATTTTATTTTTAAAACAGAAATTGTGGAACAGGAAAATAACATTCCAACATATTTGCTTTTGGGGCTAACCTACCACGACAATCTGTTAGTTTGATAATGGTTAAACACGCAAGCCTGGGATGTAGCAGGGTACCATTAAGGCAGCCATCTATTGAACATACATACTGAAGGCCTGAAGTGCCTCCTATTTTGGGTTTCTGATGAGTTATAATGTAGTTATGTTCTCTGGATGCCACTGATCTGCACTGAAAAACACATGGAAGGATCAGAGTTCAGGAAAGGTGAGCATCCAAATTTGGGATCAATATCTGGGAACCTGTCAGATGAGCGCTAGGTGCAGAGCAGGGAAGAGATGAAACCTCGTGAGTGTACACATTCTGATAGTAAATGCTACTCTGTGGCAAGTCTTAGCTGCTCGAGTTGCTTAGCGATTCAAACAGATCTGTAAAAGACCATTTGCAGACCAAGGCTACCATTATGTTGGATTGATTCATCAGGACGAGTAGCTAAAACAAGTTAAATTCTATCAGAGTTTTCCTGCATTAGTTTAAAAATGAATTTAGTTGGCTCTAAATGAACATTTGTTTTAGCATCTCGAAGAACTGACTTTCCTCTATTAAAGCAGAATAATGTATCTATATGGTGCCCTAACTTGAACAGTACATAAAGATTAGTAAATAAGACCCCATTAAAAATACTTATAATGTAAGTAACATGGGTCCCAATAGCCTTTCTAATGTCCATTAATGCTTATTCTGAGGATCAGAGCTCATTTTACTGAGCCATTTAGTCAAACCGTGTGATTATTTAGAAAGTTAATTCATGCATACTAAAATCTAGCTTAAGTAATGCAGAGGGTAGGAGGTAAAACTCTATGGAGACGATAGTCCTTTTTGTTATTTAATGATCAGCCATAATTAACTTGCAAATTTGAAATAATTAGAACAAATTAAAGGTATTTAACTTTGCCTCCCTAAAGAAAAATTCAAATTGCACCAAATGCAGCTTTAAATTATTCAAGTCTCAGAGGTCTGTGCTGGGTTTTTTTACAATGCCTTTTCTATGATGAGAATACCAATCTGCTTTTTGTCAGAAAGCATCCTATCAAGTAATTGTTCTTTGTGTCTAATAAATGACAGCTATTCTTCTTTGTAAAAGTATTTCAGTCTCTGAAGACTACATCAGCATTTCCATGGCATTTTAATTCAATAAAACAAAAGGTTAATGTTTTTCTACTTTTTAAGGAATGCAAATACTAGCAGTATTCAATGGGTCCTGAATGACATTTAAAATTTGCCATTCACGCTCAGCAGGGATATCGCGATATGAGGCTCAGACAAAATGGAAAAATCGTTCAAGGTGTATTTTCCTTTGTTGGCCATGTGCTTCGATATTCATAAGGAGGCAGCAGTGCTGAGACTCACTTTTCTGGCGATGCTACTCTACTAGTCCTGCTTTAGTACGTAGCTTAGGTAGGTTAATAAGTTCTTTATTTAGACAGTCCTCTCTGTTGTGTAGTTTCAGGGAATAGCATGAAAAGTCATTGGATATTGTGGTGCCCTGCAGGAAGTCCTACTAACCATGCTACATTTGAGTGATGTAAAGGATTGCTGGATTTGAAAACAGAGAAGGACCTGTTATGTTGCTTAGTCTCTCTAGCTATATGTAACTCATCCCTTTGGACCATATGTTAGTTTTAAATTTTCCAGGTTGCAATAGTCACATCAATCATTTTACTAATTATTCCACAGGTGAATGAGTAACTATGTTCTGAAATAGATTTTTTTCCTTATGTTTTCTTTGTTTAATTTTAGTGCATTGTTAATTATTGAATTTTTGTATCTCTCTGCATTATTCTTTCCCTCCTTGGTCTACACACCTCTAGGATTAGGAGTTTGTCATGTTAAGATTGGACTCTATATATCCTTAATTGAGCAAAACTTTAGTGTGAGCTTTCTTTTATTAAATACTAAAGACCCAGGCTCTAATTATTTGTTTAGTGAGCTATAAACGCAAATACACTTGCTGTTGTTATTTCCTCATAAATTAGCTTCTGTAACTACTTTTTGGTGTCTGTTTCTGTTTGAATTGCCTCTGCCATAGCAGTTTTTAAACCAGAACTCTGTATTCTCTAGAGGTAACTGCACCATGTCAAAGGTATTGCGGTGAACCAAGTGGAGTAATCGCCTCCTTGACTATGAGCCAAAGGTCACTGTCTTCACCGAAGATCTGTAGGTTGTAATTAAACGTACTTTAAAATCTCAGAAAGCATCCAAATAATCACACCCTCAGTGTTTTTAAATGCTATTAGTCATCCATGTACATGCAAATAGAGTATCAAGTCCTGTATTATCAGAGAAATCTGGTCAAGTATTACACCTTTAAGCCTCTTTAAACAGTTATTAGGGTTCAAACCCACCTCTTGCTGTACGCTGGGTTGCAGGAATTAGTAGGTTAGTAATTTCATGTAATTCAAATAAGATACTAATTTAGTCCACCATAAATTTGAATAACACTTTACAATATTATTAGTGACCACAGAGTTTGAAGCCCTAAAGTAAACGGGGGTTATTCAGAGAAGTTTTATCCAACACTTCAGCCAGTTGTTACAGGTCATAAGCCATTATATAATCTCTGCATTAATAATACAGGAGTAATACTAATTGTCCAACAGGTGCAGCGGGCCCTATTAAACAATGGCTTATACAGCACATTGATTTGAAACTTAATTTAGCTATCGTTTTCTGATGGGAACATCAGATATCCGCTTTTTCCTCAGATGTAGACTAATGTGAGTCGTGTAAGCTTTTTAGGTAAAAGATTCTTGTGAATCAACCTCCATAAAGCTGTATCCCAAATAATACAAACTCAGTGGCAATCTTTGGGTTGCCAATGTAAAATTGGTGCTTAAACAGGAAAAAGATTTGTTTAATTTTCTGTTAACTTAGGAAAGCTGTATGTCACTCCCATATTTGCAAGTACAGCAGTATAATCTTGGGATGAATTGTATGCCTTCCTGTGGATATTCGAAAGATTTATTTTTTTTTTAAAAGTTTTAAATACCTTTTTCTAACAATGACAGGGCTAATGGTGTATATATGTTAGGAATCCTCATTTAAAGCAGTAGCTGTTTCCCAGAGAGCAGAATTTGAAAGCAGTAAGTTGTCTTTATTGAAAGATGAGTCTCCATAGCCTCCTGTCTGCCCAAAATGTTTTGTCATTGCCTGTGTCTGCGGAGACTGAGGACACCCTTGCTCCACATCACCAAATTTCTCCTGGCTCTATCTGTTCAGTGTTTATGATCTTGTGCTGAAGGTCATCTTGAACCATAAAGATTCTAGTTAGCTTTCGCTTTTCTTACTCAAACTGCTGCACTTGCTGCAACAGATACTCTCCCACCAGTTTGCTTATACGTTCTCTATGCTGCTTACAAGTACCTCTGTTCATTCATCTCACCTCTTTTTGTCTCTTCTCCTCTCATCCCTTTTCTTATTGAATCAATGTATCATCTGCTTCCCCTCTGCAAACCACAACTCCAATTTTATCTTCACATAATCTTCTCTCTCTCCCCTTTATCCTAGTAAAGTGAGAATTTTTTTAATTACTCTTTCTTCAAACTCCACTTGCTGGACAAAATATCTTCATCTGTATCTTCATATCTGTATCTACATCCCACTTGTCCTGTCCTAATGACTCAGGAAATCCAGGACCTAATGCTTTAGGGAATGTGCCTAATGCCACAAAACTCCAAATGTAATTGTCAGCGTGCTGCCAGCTGCTGATAACCAAAGACTCCTGATAAAGCAGCATGGCGGTTCCACTTCTGGAGAGTGAAAGCTGGGGAGAGGGCTGGGTGCAGTGTTAAAAGGGCTGAATGCATCATGTAATAGCATGATCTTTCTTTCCTCCCAGCATACCAGTGTTGAAATGTGAAGATTATTTTCCAAGGACACTTCCAGTGAGCAAAACCTCCAGAACACCAGGCAGCAGTGGTGGTAGCAGTTTGGGGAAGAAAGTGGTTGGTTTAGGTGCAAACGTGAAAGATGGACAAACCCTTCTGATGCAAACCAAGAGGGAAGGCACCAAGTCAAGGAAAGGTAAGGGGAAGCATACTGTATTGCAGGGCCATTATTGTGCTGATGGAATTTAGAAATTGTATATATGTGTTAAAGAGCATACCAGTAAAATGCAGAATTAGAGGGAGAGGATTGCAAGCTGCTTAAAACAACCCAAGAGAAGGTAGCTACATTTAAAGTAATAAAAAGCAGAGAAAGCCGTGTAAATAACAAGTGATCTTTTTGGCTGGTGTTCCTGATGGAAAGGAAAAAATAGCCCTTTAATCTCAAAGAACTACTTCAACAATTCTTTTTCCTTTCCCAGCAAGCAGAGAATAAGTGCAGTGGGGCTTGCTCTTGAAATGTAATCTTCTTCACATTCTTTTCCTCCCCAAGTAATGGCTCCACCATCACAACCTGATATTTTGCCACACAGGGATGTCTGTACAGCTAAAATCTATCCTGCTCTTAGCTTAGTACCTGCACTGAAGGAGCAGAGAAGCAGTCTTTCTTAGGAAGAGAAAGGCTTGGGAACAAAAGCAGCTTGGATGTTTCACTGTGGAGCCTTGAACATAATCCTCGGTTCAATTATGAGCTAGGTTTTTTTTTTTTATTTTAACTTGTCAGCTAGTTTGCTGTATATGTCAGCATAAAAATAAAGAAAATGGCAAAATGAGAAGAAATGTGGTGCACTTCTCAAAGGAACAAATAACTTGTGTTATTGGTTAAGACCGTACCAACATTAAAAAGCAGTCCCTGTGAAGAAACTTTCAAAAGGGTATCATCAGCCTGGACCCAAACAGTGGCTGAGGTTAATCTCTTCCAAGGCACAGCTACAAAAGTTGGAAGCCTGTAAAGGGCTTGTGTCCAAAAAAATCAATTTCTAATTTGAAACAAAATCATTTTTGACTAACAGGGGTTCAGGACCCATTACTTTTGCTGTATAGTCTGCTGACATTTCACACTTTCTGTTGTGCACAATGAATCCTAATAGTCATTTTATAACATTGCTACACCAATCAATTTAAGCAAGAGAAAGCCGTTACAATTCTGCAAAGTTTCAGGGGCAATTTTCACTGATGGTTTTCTTTTATGTTTTTTTCAGCTATCATTATTTTTTTCTTCTCTTTTCCTCTTCCTTCTCCCCCCTCCTTCTCAATACTGTAGTGATGAAGTTGAGATTTTTTCGCAGTTGGATGATGGGTTTTGTTCCTTGGATAGGGATAGTCCCCAAAAAGTAATTTATTTTCCATAGATTCAGGGGAAAAAAAATCCAACCTGGCCTCTCCCTTCTTTCATTCATTTCATTTTGTAGTACTCAGGAGAAGTTACAAGCTGCACCTGGCTATTGCACATAGCACCTGAGCTGCATGTATGCCGATTGAGTGATCGCAGTGGTCAGCATAATGTCTGAAGATGGTGGGTATCTTTCGCAAACCCTGGGACTGCTAGCTTTGAAGATGTAGAGCCGCATGGCAAAATTTAACTTATACACATTGGCACTTGCTGTGATACCAGATAAAGTTCAGAGAAATGCTTTCAAGCTGTGGAACAACCTCAGGTCTATTACTGATCTGAATGGCTTGTTTATCACAAGGCAAATTACCTAGCACTAATCACTGAAGTTGAAGTTCTTCTGTATTTAGTACCTTTTTAATTGGCTTCCCTCTGTTATATGTTTGGACTCCTTTAACGACAATATACACATACTTGTATAGTGTTTTTTCCATCTTTGGGGATCACCAGGGCACAACGTCAAGTTTCTTAATTCTAGTTAGCTCTGGGCTTAGCTGCCTCTGTCCTTGCTTCTGCTGGATTTTCCCATCTGTTGCTGACCTGGGATTTCTGTTTCAGAATTTATTTTTTTATTAGGAAGCAATTATGTAGCATTGTGCAAAAACAAAACAAGGGATGCTGACACTGTTTTCTGTGGTGAAATTTATAAAAATATAGTATTTGCTTTACTGTGTCAGAGTACTGAGTGAGCAAGCCGGGGGTCTACTGTCTGTGATCCCTCTACTGCAATGCATTTACCTGAGCTCTAGCTAAGCCATGCGATGTGGGAAAAGGGAATGAAGTCAACAAGATGACATCCTGAGGCATTAAACTTGACGTTATTTAGCCACATACCTTAAGGTGGCCGTTTGGTCAGAAAACAGCAGTGCTGAACACTGTGTACAGAAACATGTCCACTGAAAACTTCTTGACAGTCAGATGTTAACCTATTGCTACGGAGGTTTATTTTTCTTATGCCTTGATCTGCCTTGTCTATTTAAATTGTATATTCTTCAGGATGAGGAGTCTCTCCAAGCACACCTTAGTGCAGTGCCAGTGCTGGTGTGAGCCTTTGGGCTCACTATATAATCTCCCTGTACTGCAGGGAACAGTGGGTGTATCTAGGAGATGATGCAACTCATGATAGTGTCCCTCCACAGTGACACAGGCAGCTGTACCAGATTTTGGTGTTTCTTGTTCAACTACCTTTGTTGTTTAGATTTTTTTTTTTTTTTAGCAGATGAAATGATTAATCAGGCAACCATTCCCATGCTGGATTGGTGGAAGGCTTTACTGCCCACAGGACTGCTCACTTACTGTGAGTACAGTGAGTTTGGAAAGAGTAAATTCCTGATAAACCCACTTTTCCTGTCTCTCTGCAGATGTTTAGTAATTAGGTAGAAGAGCATTGTTAACCTGGTGCCATCACCTCATGGAGTGAAAGGGGCACTTCTGCTCTCTTTGCAGGATAGAAGCTTACTGGATCAGCTTAGGCAATCAGCTTTTATTCTCTCACTGTTGCTTTTTGTCTCCTATTTCTGTTTGCTCCTTAATTTTTATTCCTGTGCTTCAGCAGGTGTTTGTGTCTTGTAGCCAAACTTTTTTAGTTTTAGCAGCAAAACTTTAAGCAGACGAAGCAATCCTCAAGTCTTAGATCTCTTCAGTAGTAAATTGTTTTTATTGGTGTCACCAGCAGCTATGTCAATTTGTACTAAAATCTAACAACTTGTCTAGTTAAAAAGCACTGGAGTACAAAAATGTGTGTTTCTCTTGCTTTCTGCCCTAGAAAATTTTGCTTTTGGGCTGGGAAACTAAACAAGATTCTATCCATTGCATTCTGCGATACTGGGCACTTCTCTACATTTCTGTTTAAAGGCTTCCTCTCCACACCCTTCCTGAAAGATCTCTGCACTGAAACAAAGAAAGAACTATTTTTCCCTTTGTATCTCTTTGGGGGACATAGCATCTGCGTGATATTGGATAGCATGCATAGCTTTCCATATGTAAAAGAAAAAGCAGAGGAGGAAAATTATTTTAGCTATAGAATCTGTACTTTTCCAGGGGCTGATTTTTCTGTATAGTGTTTGTTTTTCAGTAGGTTTTCTAATGTAGCTTCTTAGGGATTCAGAATCTGGAACTTCTTCCCTTGAGGGAAGACTCTTCCCTACAATCGAATAGAGCAATTAGTTAATATTAGTGAAGCACTTTGAAGATGTGAAGTACTATATAAATGTTAAGTATTATGAATATTAGTATTACTCAATTCATAAAGATTTCTTTCATGATTATCAACCTAGATTTCCCTTTGTTTACTTTCATCCCATTAGTGCTTGAACCAGCCTCAACTGTATTTTTTTCATTCTTAGTGTTTACACTTTCAAAATGTGGACTGCTGTATTTCCCCACTTTCTTCATGTTTTAGTTGTCTGTTTCTCAAGCAGAAATGTACAGCTATTTGGATTTTCTCAAATGAGTCTTTAATCTACTTTAAATCATTCCTATACCAAGTTAACCAAATTCAAAATAGTATTTTTAACATTACCATTTACAAGACATCTGTAATTGCTTTGGGGGTAGCTTGCTGTGCAAGCTTACATCTAGTTTGGTTTTTGCTATTCTTTGCTACTCCAGGTTCTCTCCATTAGTGTCAGAATTAGATTATTGCACCATATATGAGCTTTTTTTTTTTTTTTTCTTTAAAGGATAAATGTGTCTATTCTTTTTCCATGTTTCTTGCTTCTCTAGATCATCTGCAAGGTCTCCATTCTCATAGTGTCTTCCAACACCTGCAAATCTAATTAATTTGCTGTCATTTGTATCACCCCAGTTCTCTAGGACTTTTCATAAATAATTACAAGTCACTTCATAAATTCATTAACTAATTCCCTTCAGCCCTGAAATATGTATCCTTCAAACTAAAGAATTTGTATCTTCTTTATTTCCCCCGATTTCTTTTCATCGGCTTTATATGGGCAGGTATTATACATCAACATTGTCTTTATTATCCCCTACTTGCCAATATTCCTTTTCTTTATTTTTTCTCATAGTATATTTTAAAATTATTAGTAACTTGGCCATTTTGGGATCATTATTGATTTAATCTTCTTCATATATTCATAGACCTGCCTGCTCTTTGGTATTTCTTTTTCCTCAATTGACTTGCATGCCTTTTTCAAGATGTATTTTTAAACATTTTTCTTTTTGCATAGATATGCACTTATTCAAGACTTCTTGCTACCCCTGTTTTATGTCTGTGCAGCCTAACAGCCTCCGTATATTCCTACTTAGTTCCTTTTCTTGTTTTCCATTTCTAGCCCTGGCAATATTTTCAAACTTGGGTCTTTGAACAGTCCCCCCGAGGCTGTATTGCCCACTTGTGAGTCCATATATTTTCTTTTTCAGAGAAATACATCTACTTTGCTATGAATGTAGTATGTTGACAGTGTGCCAGCCTTTTCTTGTATTAGGAATATATTCTCCCATGCTCACCAGGTTTTTATTACTTTGGTATTAGTTTCTTAAAATCCAGCTGCCTCATTCCACTGTCACGTGAATGGATTTCTAAATATCTCTTATTCGATCATAAAGCCAAGAGTCTAAGCAAGAGGCTTCCAGTCTTTATATGCATACGCATTCTTCTCATCATGGATTGGTATATTATCAAGTTACCAGGGACACACAATCAACGTATATCCCCATGATATTTCTAAGAGTTCCTTCACTGATAATTAACTCCTTGTTAGGCAAGATTTTTTTCACTGCATGGTACTAAAGCACAGTGCATTATAGCAAGGTGATAAGACCCCTTTTTTTTTTGTTAGCCTCCCTAGCGTACACCTTAAAACATTCCATTTTAATAGATTATATGTATTTGTATACATCTTAAATCAGTGCAGTATTTTAAATAATCATAATCCTGTGGACATCTGTAAATTTTGTGCTGAAGCTGGAATTACAACCTTGTTTTGCTTCATGTTTCAGCATGGATGGTAGATAATGTTGCTGTTCACAGAGCTGAGAAATATTTAGGCATAACAGAATTATTTGGAGCTAACACTGATTTGACTTTCATTTTTGCTGAGACTTGTAGTTTTCCCTATACTTACTGTTTAGTTAAGTGATGTTGGTTGGACCGAGCTAATTAGGCTAGATTAAAAAAGCCCAAACCCATAGGTTTTTGTGTAGTAGATCAGATTATTCCTAATTTGCCAACTCCACTTACCTCTGACTGTGTGCAAGTTGTCTAACTAAATCCTATCTATAAAACCCACTTCTCCGGTGGGTGGGCGATGGGTGGAAAATTGGCTGGACTGTCAGCCTCAGAGGGTTGTCATCAGTCCAGCTGACAGATGGTTGCTAGTGGTTAACTGCTTACCATTAACAGCCTGGACAGCAGGACAAGATGCATCTTCGGCAAGTGTGCAGACAACATCAACTGGGGAAGCGGTCAGTATGCTGGAGGGTAGGGACTTTAACAGGCTAGGAAAATCGTTTGACAGAAACCTGTTTAGGTTCAACAAAGGGAAATGTAGTTCCTTCAACTGGGTTGGACTGATCTCATGTAACAGGACCAACCTAGAAGCCAGTTTTGCTAGAAAAGAACTGGG